CGAGGCGCCCATTGAAGAGGGCGTCCCCTCTCTTGTGCACCGCCGCCACCACGCGATTTGTGTCCCCATGGAGTCCGCCCACGAGAAGGGTCCGCATGCCCCTGGCTGCATCATTGGCGGGCGTGTTGTCCTGCTCCATCGTCAACACACGGGCACAGACAAACATAAAACGAGGGATCGGTTCATGATCTCACTCCCCACAGAGCCTCCATGCGATGATGTTGAACCTCAAAAGAACAAGAAAAATGGCATTGAACTACCCCGGCTGATGCCACAAGGAAACAGAGGGAAATGGCGACGTATGTCTTGTCTTGAGCGCACGATCGACACCATCAAACACATGAAACACTTCTGATGTTATCACCTGGATATCACCAAATTCTCTGACTCGATCATGCAACTCGCTGAGACTCTCCCCGTCGCGGTGAAACTCTTCATCCGAATCCTCGACGTCCACGTAATTGTCTTCTTCGTCAGCGCCCCATCCTCGCCCTGTCCACACGATAGCATTGGAGAGCACAACGAGGGAGCGCAAGGCACAAACTCTGCTTGTAACATCACCCAAGAGCGCTGCAGTTGAGATTTGACGTTTGCCACGAGACGTGGTAAGAAGCGAATGGAGGACCCAACAGAACTGAAGTAACACTACCCAAATAGTACTCGTTCGGATCCATCCTCGGGCTTCAACATACCTTCCCCCAAACGTCGAGGCATCTGGCGTGGTGCTTCTTCGTCGTCGCTGTCCTCCCCTTCGTCCTCCGCCTGCCATCAGTGTGCGACACATCAGGGGAGAGCGTTCGAGATGGCGCGACGAGAATGTAACGAAATATCAGTCTGAGAGGATCCCAATGTATCGACAACTACAATATAGTATGCAACACTGGATGTGAAGAGCTGAGGCAGAAGTGGTGGAATGGGCGAGTCTACGCTCGACAGAGACGGGGGCGTGGTACTGTCGGCAAACCGGATTCGTGCCAACTTGACACTACAGACAACACGACGTTTCACATCCATTTTTTTCTTTTCTCCGTTCTTCCGGGCAAATATTCTTACCAGGAACATCTTCGTTCGCCTGACAGGCGAGTGCACTCCTTCGTCATTCTCAAGTGGCCCCATAGTGTACCGTAGCTCACTGAAGTCCATGGAGCCGAGCCGCAACTCTCTCTCTGCGCGGACCAAAAACGCCACGTTAAAGTTAAGAAAAAAATGTGTGAACGCGGGAATAGTCGGTGCTCATTTTGTCGATGGAGCTCGGACGACTATCTAGGAGACCATCCGTCCGCCTCAACCCGCCGCGAAAGCCGGCGATACAGCACGACGGCTGGCAGCGCCGACGAAAGAGGAGAAGCGGCGCAATTGGAGAGGCCGTCTTCCATTTGAAAAACAGCGTCGCCTCCGCTATCCAACAGCCAAAAAGTACGCACCCGGCGACATCAAGCAATTACCAAGTCTGGCATAGTCACCCCCACAGTCACTCTGCGCAGTGAGGCACTGGGGTGGGTGGGTGAAGGACTCTGCGCAGTGAGGCACTGGGGTGGGTGAGTGAAGGACGTGATTGTGCGCTGTGCTGCTTTTGTGTTTTTTCGCAGCTTGTATTAAAATTAAGATTGTTTCAAAACGCTGCTGCTGGTGGGGTCCCAGGGTCCTCGCAAGGCGGTGAGCTTCTGGTCCGCATTTTTGGAGACAACTCTGCGTACACAGGTCTAAATTCAAAACGGATTTCTACCCAAGAAAGGCAGAGACCTGCACTGACGGCACGCAAGAGGTGCACAGTTTGCCCCTCTTGCGCTAGACGGACTGGTCTGCGGCGCGGAGGGTAGTCGACATTCGGCAGGCCGCATCCCCGGGGTTGCCGCCCTCCCGCGGGCACCACATCAAGACTCACCGTGAATGGAATCCGCTCTACCCTGGCGAAGGGTCTCCCTCTTGGTGGTGTTAGCTAACCCAGCCAGCACAGCAGTCGGCCGCGTCCCGGTGGTTGCGGGGGAGCGAAATGAAAGAGTGCAAAAAAGGCGACCTGAAAAATCCCCGGGGTGCCTGGAGAACCCCACCTTGTACTGAAACCCGCAGGGGAGTTCGCTTGCGGAAAAATCGAGAGTCAGCATCCAACCCTTTTTTGTCATATACCATTGCATCTGATAGCTGGGAGACATCACTGCCCTGTCTGTGCTGTCCCGAAGCACAACGCGAGAAGTCCGACAAGAGGCAAAAGCGACGAGGAGGGAGAGATTCCTTGCTCTGGGAGGTTGTTGGTTGTGGGCACACACTCTGTACAGGTGAGAGCCGGACACAGAGTCATGCACGTCCCTTTCGTTGTGTTCACCTCATCTTTTTCGGAGACAACGTCTTTCGCCCCTCCTCACAGCTTGTTCACACAGCGGAGCTGTCCTCGCAACACCCTAAACAGCCAACACCAGCGCTGACGGCTGCTAGTTCTTCCTGTCTCGTCACATGTAGCGCTGACCAGTTGGCGTGCTAGCAAGCCCTTAGAGAGACACGAGGGTCACAGGATAAGAACCTGTGGCTTTGCTTGACAGCAGACACTCCGCACCTGCCGGGACGGATGATCGATCCTTTCGCTCGTTCGCGACAGCAGCCTGTTACAGCAGTAGCTCACCCTTGCTCCACACCGAGAGAGCTGAGTCTAAGCACGGCTTTTTTTGTACAGCTCTGGCTGTTTCGTGGTCGATTTGCCCATCCGTTTTATTATATGTAATTATCCGGCAGGACTGCTGCTCCCGACATAGAACGGCTGTCTGATGCACGCCCGGAATATTTGTTCCAAATTCTGGCCGTTCCATCCCTGTACCGCAAACAGCCGTGTTTCCCGTAAGGTTTTTTACTACCATGCTGTTGATGATGCCGCCCCGCAACAGCGTGAGCGCACCCCATGCCCTCGTTTACCTGGAAGCCTTCGGCTGTCCCCCCGCCCCAATCACGACCAGTAATTAACACACACCGCTGAAAAGCAAAACCAGGGCTACTGCTGTCCCCTAGCTGATGTCTCCGAGGCACTATCCTCGATCCCCGGTAGACCACCCTCCCCGCAACCACCGAGCGATGAAGCCCTTCGCCAGAATTAAGTTTGCAGTGTGAGGAAATAGAGCAGACAGGGGGTACACAGACCCTACTCTTATCCAACTTCCCCAATCGCATTCCTTATCCAACATGTTTACCTAAACAGAATAACCCTGCAAAGGCCTACTACTACGGAGCGATGAGCCTTCCACGACCTGGCGGGCGCCCGCAAGGCGGAGAGATAAAGTCCGGCGGCGGCGGCGGCGGCGGCGGCACCGGTTACGGTGGTGGCGGTACGACAACGGCAGCAGCAGCAGCCGCAGCCCCAAGCGCTTTCGCCGGGTACACGCCTCCGTCCGCGAATCCCCCGAACCCGTACACCTCGGCAACGGGTGCTAGCAGCGCCGCGGGCGCGGGCGGCGGGCTTTCCTTTGGCGGAGGTGGTGGGTATGGCAGGGGAGGGGGGTTCGGGGGTGGTGCATTTGGGGGCGCGGGGGCACCACAAGGGTTTGGAGGAGGAGGGACGACGGCGGGTGGGGCCCTGGGGGGGGGAGGGGTCGATGGGAGGAATCAGTACGGGTTTTCGAACGGTGGAGGTGGAGGTGGGTTGGATACCCTGGGCGCTAGCATGGGAGCGGTAGCCGGGGCTGCGATGGGCATGGCGGCGGGAGGGGCGCAGCGGAAGGCGGGGGGGGCGAGGGGGGGGGGTCAGCAGCAGCAGCAGCAACAGCAGCAGCCTTTGGACTGGCACCAATGGACTCCGGATGGAATGAATGCACAGGTTCGTTGAGGGGCTACAGCAGTAAGGGTGGTCCATCGGTCCCGCTTTGTGTTCCTTGAGTTGTCGTGGTGTGGTATTGTCGTGGCAGCTGTGCTGCGACAGTAGAGAGATTTGCTGCGTCCACGCGTGGCATCTAATGCAGAGGAGGGCCGGGAGCACTCGAGATCGATTGGCTGCAGGAGTGTTCCGGGCTGTGTGTTGGCACCATCACATGGGTCCGAAGACCCCAAGAGGGTATTCGGGAAGTCGCCGAAAGGTCCTGGATATCGTTCACTGTTTGGTCGAGCCAACGTCAGCCTGACCCGTCGCCCACCAATCAGAGTCTCCAAACAGGCAGCATTGGGTCTGAGAAGCACTTCCGTTGGAAGTAAGGAAGGTTTAACGATTCTGACCAGGAGCCTGAACAGGGCAGGACGTCTCCTGTCATTGGGCCGAGTAAGACAGCAGTTCTGCAGAAAGGCGGACAGACACAACGAGAGGCAGCCAGCGAGAAAGAGAGAGAAATGAGCCTACAATACGAGTCGTTGGCCCCGGGTCGTCATTCCCCTGACTCGCGACTGAAGCGTAGGTTTAGACTACAGCAGCAGCAACCTTTGATAGCTCTTGAGCACCACCCGCGCGTTGCACGTGGCGTGCAGATGCTGAACGTTGGCGGGAACGTGGCCTCCAACTTCCTTAAAAGCAACGTCGCTCAGTACCAGCCTCGGGTGTCTGGCTACTGGAACACCCTAAAGGTCTACTTCACGGTGAGGGAGGGAGGCTATCTACATGTAGTGGCAGCACGCGTTTGAGGTGGAAGGGAAGTGGATGAAAACGGGGCTGGGCATCATCGATCGCGCACATGAGCGAGTAATTTACGATAGATCAGGAGCGGTGTATTTTGGGGTGGTGGGGTTTTGTTTGTTGTCGGCAAGGGCCAAGGTTAGGGCGAAGAGGGCGACCGTTCTGCCCGCGGCTGCCTGTTTTCCAGCTGAAGCTATTTGCCGTGTGCAAACGGGTGAGTGCTGGCTGTTCTAGTTGCACCAGCGATTCCGTCGGCACTGACGGTGCGTTGTTTTTGCAAGGGTTGTGGTGAGCGTTTCGTGATGCGGCGATAGGTGTTGACGAATACACCGCCTCGAGTGTGCATCATTGTGCCGCGCACTTGCTGATGCTGCTTCGCCTACATATGATTCCCGTTGTTGTGCTGTTTGTTTCTGCTGCTCTGAGGGAGGCAGGTGGACAACCGATACGTGTTGAAGAAGTTGAAGGTGCTGCTGCTGTCGGTGTTGAGGAAAGACTGGTTCCGGTTACCGTCGGAGGACGAGGTTAAGGATGACGTGAGTGGCCAGGATAACCAAGAGAAGGGAGACGTGCAGACAGACGGAGTATATGCAGACTCGGCAACACAACCCCGCCCGTTTTGGCGAATTCAAAGAGATTCGCCGTCCGGAGAAATTGAAATGTCAATGCAGTGGGGGGGGGCGTCTATTGACCCCTAGTGTCACGACGAAATGTGACCGCTAGTCAGGGCAGGTCACTGCTCCAAACCACCATTTACGTAGCAGCTATGCTACCGGGATGCGGCGGTGCGACGTGATTTTGTGGTCGCCTTAACAACACGGCGTGTCGCTGAACAGGGGGTCTCTAAACCGGGCCCCCTACTGCATGAAGTATTTTAGGAACGAAAACACTCATAGCAGGTTTCACGGTTGCGCACATGCCTATGGCATGAAACGATGCTTGCACGGGCGGCAACACACGTGTTTCCACGCATGATCGCTCTGCCGTTGTAAGTGCCCATCTGCCTACCCTTGAACACGCGTGGCGAGGCGGGCGCCAATCTGAGCCGCGCGCGGTAACACACGTCTTCGCAGCGACGCAACTGCATCGACAACGACACCCGCAAAAGCAGCGACCGACTGCTGTTTTAATTGTCGTGTATTTTGCGTGTTCCTGCCACTCCCACCACGACCGGCCGCAGCAGCAGCACAATACCCGGATGTCCCGGTTGCTCCCGTCGCCCAACGGTTTATAGATATATGTTGCTGTTGTTGCCTTTACGTTAAAAACCGTTCCGATCTCTCTATCCGATGCTGTACGTGAATCTGTCCGATCATTTGCATCATGTTTTTCTTCCTTGTTTTTTTCCTGTTTTGCGCAGCAGGGGAGACCAAAGTTCGAGCGGCCCGTGGCGGACGTGAACGCCCCCGACCTGTACGTTCCGTTAATGTCGTTCATAACGTTCGTGCTCTTGACCGGATACGCGAAGGGTTCAGCGGCGGCGCTGTCTGACGGTGCCGGGACGTTCTCGCCAGAGGTGAGAAAGACGAGACGGTGATGATGCGTTAGGGTGTGCATAGTTGGGTGCATCGTGTGGCAACGGGCGGCGGAAGAGGGTGGGCGGGGGGAGCTACGCGAGAGAGAGAGGGAGGGAGGCAGGGAGGCAGGGAGACAGAGGTAGACAGACAGGGAGGCGCGAGAGAGGCAGACGCGACAGCCTGCGCCCAGAAGTGAATGCGACTTGTTGTTTCTTTTGCGTGCACAGGTGTTTCTTCGAGGTGATATTTTGATCAGTTCCACCCCGCCTACGCCCACCCGTGCCTTCTCTCCCTGTGTTTGTTTGTGTGTGTGTCGTGGTTGACGTTGGTCTTCAGGTGTTGACCGAGGTGACGAGCTCTTGCATAGTGACGCAGCTGCTGGAGGTGCTCCTGATCCGGCTGGGGCTGTACCTTCTCAACAGCCCGGCCGTCGTGCTGGACCTCATCGCGTACACTGGCTACAAGTGAGTAGGTAGTGCACCCAGCTTGCCTGAGGGGCTGGCGTGTCCGATAGGTAATACACGGTCCTTTTCTTCATCTGCTGTTCCTGGGATAACATAAATAGTACCCAGTCTCAACACCACAGACCGCTGAGGGCAGCAGTGCCACAAACACGATGAGGGATAGCTTGCCATTTACCATGCATATAGATTGATTTGATGCGCCCGGTTTGTGTCTCATCAGCGTTGCGACACACGCCGTTGCATGCCGTGTGTAGATCGACGATACGGTGGTCGATGTGAGGGTAAGGTGCGGAGTGTTTGTTAGCATGGGAAGAAGACAGGCCGAACTCCCTACGGGTGGATCCCCGATGTATGTCGCACGGGCGGCAGCGCGCAGACCGCCCAATGGGTACCGCACTCGGTCCAGGAGTCGTAAGTGCAGGGTGGCACCGTCGGCGTAGATGACAAAGCAGAAGACCCCTCCACTTAGCTCTTTATTTTCTCTTTAGGTAAACCCAACAGCGATTATATAGTTTTTTAGTATGGGGTTCTTGAATGAGCACCTGTTCTTATGGTCGAGTTCGTGACTTTCACGTTGTGGTGGCTCGTTCAGCATTAAGCCTTCGATTTATGTCCACGATTCCAGTCTGTTTATGAAGCGGTTGCTCGTCCACTGCATAACGTGAAGGTATGAACTCGACCGTAAGAACGGGTGCTCACTTAAAAGCCCCATGCTGGAACCATGGACATAAATCGAAAGCTTCATGCTGAACGAGCCACCACTTCATAACGTGAAAGTTGAGGACTCGACCGTAAGAACAGGTGCTCACTTTAAGAGCCCCTTCCTGGAATCATGAACATTAATCGAAAGCTTAAATCTGAACGAGTCACTACTTGATAACGTGAAAGTCAAGAACTTGACCGTAAGAACAGGTGCTCACGCAAGAGCCCCATGCTGAAACCAATATTACAATATTATCCCCAGTCCACATTGCCCAAGCAGGTCTTCTCTCGTTCGCGTCTTAACGTGTATGAAGACGGTAACCAACCGTGGTACGATGTATTTCTGCTCCCGCTGCTGCCATGCGCCCCCCTCGTTACCCGGCAGATACGTGGGCCTGTGCATCAACATGACCGTCGGGGTGTTCTCGGGAAGGACGTGGTACTACCTGGCGCTCTTGTGGACGGGGTCCATGATGTCCTTCTTTATGGTGAGGTTTTAACGGGGGGAACGGGGGGGTGCACGACCCAAAGTCATGGGCAGCGGGATTGGTGCATCAACACTTGTTTCACCGCATTTTGGAATGTTGTACGCTATTGATTGCAACTTTTTTCCTGGACTCTTGTGTCTGTGGATACAAATGGAGATAATTTCGTTTTGTGTGTTCGTAAGAATGGAAACATTGACATGTGAAGACGTGGCCCAAGGGGCATCCCCAGACGGGAACAGGACAGTCGCATGATTTTTAGCTGCTCCCGGGTGGGGGTGTGGCGGAGGCGTTTTGTGTGTGATCGTACTGTTTGTCTGCAGGACGCTTGGCGTTCGAACGGACAAGGCGACGACATTCAGTTGCCGTGTCTGCCAACTCCTGTTGTTGGCACTCAAGCACCCGTTGTGTGCTTTCCCACGTGTCGAACTTTGGGCACCTCGTTCCTCTGCATGCAAGCACACCAACCCCCGCGGCTGCGAAACTTGAACCCTCGCTCTCATCCCTTGCTACCACCCCGCCTTGTGCGTTTTGTCTTTTTTTCTGCGTTCCCAGTTTAAAACAATGGCTCACACAGTCCCCACCGGTTCCGCGTCCCGAGAAGTGATGATCCTTGGGTGAGTGCTGCAAGTCGAGCAGCCCCGCTCTCTTCCCAGACTCGATTGTCTAAGCAGGTTTTTCTCAGTAAGCAAACATACCTGGTAAATGCAATCAGTTAACGTTGGGTTAGGGTTAGGGTCTGCGTGCCACCTGCCTGCTATTTATTCGTAATGAACGTACTTGGGTTTGCGTAGGCAGTCAGTCACCTTAGAATTATCACATGAAAAATGGAGGGCCCCTCAAATTGTGCCGGTTTGTGCCCGCCAGATTCGCCGGCACTATACCGGGCATCCGGCAGGCACTCTTCAGAGAATGAGACAACTCGACTGCTTGTTCCATCCGTATCACGCGATTTCACCAGCATTATATCGGGCAGCGGCACTATTTGAGGAACCCCACCGTACCTTATTCTACTTGTGCCTCGCTTGCTAATTCACGCCGTGTTTGTTCCCTCTCTCTCTCTCTCTCTCTCTCTCTCTCTCTCTCTCTCTCT